TACAAACACATGCATGTGTATATTTAAGAAAAATATGTTATGTTTATATATTAAATATATTTATGTATAATATAAAATCTAAGAATATAAATGTATATACATTTGTAGATTTTGGCAGCAGCCATTTAAACTCCATATCGTTCATAATTAGTTGACACATTTTCACCATCCAGTCAATTCTTTTTGTGAACAGCAATTCACGTCTACAGATATTTTAGTTATTTGATTACAGCTCACATTTGGCAAATTGATTCTGGACCTGGATATAACATAACACCGCAAACTGATGTTTAGAGATGACGATTGGACCACCATCCCTGTAGTCATTAACCAGAGCACCTCTCTGTCTTGCTCTGTTTCTTGGCATTACCTGCCTGTATGACAAGAACCCAGCTGCTCTTCTGGGTTTATTCAGGGATCTGGGAGGAAGTAAAGAGCGGGCTTAGGTTGGATCTTCACCAGCCTAAGGCGGAACTGGCAACAGCAGGACCATTTATTAGTTTCTTCTCTGACATGTGGGGTAAAGCGGCCCAGGCTTCAGACTGTTCGGCAGCCCTGAGGTGGAGGGGTTAGATCACAAGCTCATTTCACGTGTGACTGGATGTGAATTAGCCGAAAGCCTGCCTTTCTCTCTATATTTCTCCCGCTGATCTCTTGACGCTCTCTCATCATCAACTCTTCTTGATGACAAACGGTGCTATGAAATGCCACACGGAGCGAGTTACTCCTTGTGTTGCCATAGCAGGCAGCAGATGAGGCAATCAGTGGCACATCTTGGTACATGACGCAGGGCGTTCAGGGTCTTGAATGGCTGAGAAACTTTTGGTTCATCAAGAGTCCAAGACTTGGCAGTTCCTTGCGCTCACATATGGTGTCATCACCTGTACGCTTGCTGCAAATTGGCAGTCTATGCATTAGCATATGGGACGGGCAGCTTTCGGCGTAGATGTTAGTTTTGGTTATCGTTTTTGTTCTAACCAATATTTTCCGGGTTCAAAACCTGTTTATCTCTGTCATACCACAGAAAAGCATTTCGAATCATCCCTCTGTTAAAAAAATAAATAAATTATTAAAATGGAAATCTACAGGGCAAGGCATAGACGTTAAAATACACACAGTTTCACAAGTCTGTTCTGATCAAATTGCTTACTAACCTTGTCTGTGCAGAGTTGCATCCAATTTTTCAACTTTTCTCATTACCATGTAAAGGCAGTAAACCCTGCAAGGTACTATTTACATAGGGAAAAATCCTCCCACAAGAATTATGTCGTATAACCTGAAGTTTATCTGCTTACTACAACAGTAGAACCACTGCTATAAGGGCATTTAAAACAACTGTACATCTCAAATAACTCCCATTTTGTATGTAAGCATATTTATGTTTTAATAACAATATGACATGAGCATTAGTGTAAATTATCCTGATTTACCCAGTGCTTCTCAACCAGGTGGCCAGGACCCACTAGAGGCCTCAGCAAACTTCCAAGGGCAAAAACAACTATAAATCAAGATATTTCCTGTTTTAATTCACTCCCTCAAGACTTTTTTTTCAGGGTTCCTTCTGTCTAGAAAAAAACCTGGATATATGAAGTAGCCTAATTATTAGTATGATTTCTAGACCTGAAAAGGTCACATAAATTTCAGGTGGAATTTTTGAGTAAAAAATATTTGTTTAAATCCTTACCCTTGATTCTTATCCAGTAAATCATGAACAAATGGAAAAATCATGCAGCTTCAAATATTGTTGTGGGCATTGGGGGAACCACTGCTGTACAAAGTGATGAAGTAACATGTAAATCTCGAGATTTGATATTTTGTCGATGGCTTGGCTTCTAATTCAGAGACATTGCACCGCTATATTGCAAATAGCCACATCCCCATGAAATCTCATTGGTCCAAAATTCTGCTCCACATAGCTAAATATTACACTTAAAAATGTTGTCAGTGTGGACAGACTTAAGTCTGGAATCATAGTTAGATTCATTAGTACAAGAGTTACAAACTGAAATGATTTTCTGTGGGGCTCTATTTGCATTAAACACATTGTTTATAGAGCTTAACTTACATTGAATCCGGAACCATCTTCTTTACCCCTTTCATTTCCTAGTTCCTAGCTTTTCTCTCACTCTTTTCTCTCTCTGGCTCTTTCAACTTCACTTCCGCCTAAAATACACACGCGAGTACAATGTTGTATGAAAAGACAGAAAGCCATCTTAATAACAGCCTTTCAAGAGTAAGTATACGGCTATGGCGACTGAAGATGACAATGATTTTTGCGTCTCCTAATTGTGCACCCTGCCTCTCTGAAAACCAAATGGAGCGTTAAACTTGATTAAGGCGAACTGACTGCTCCCGTTGCCAGTTGCTCTCTTTCAGCGTGCGTATTTGTGTCACAAAACCCAAAGCTGAGGCGAGCGACTCGAAGCCCACACCCCAAAGCTCTCTTTCCCTCAGAGCGAACGCTACGCTGAGCTCCTGAATGACAGGTGCAGCCGAGTTGAAATAAGAAAACACATGCCGTGACACACGACGATAGCATCGGTGCTCTCCCGCACAAAGCTAGCGTATCTACACACTCGCTCCCTCTCGCCTAGGCTGTGACAGCCGGTCTGATAGAAGTAGTATTCCTGTAAGGTATCGTATTTCACACCTCGTCAGCTACTCGCTGTTCAAATGCGAGATGATTAGCATGTAATTAAGAGCCTGTGCTAGCATGTTATCAGGTTCCCGACCAAGCGCGGTTAGCCTGTACACGAGGGATCCGCTAAAGTTGAGCACGAAGCAACGGATGATTGGGCGTTTGGATCCCTTGGTCCCTATTGTGGTGAAATCTTCGTGCCACGGTTATTGTTGTCCTCTGAATCTTTATATATATATATTTATATATATCAGAGAATATGTATCTTTGAAGAAGACTCTTGCATTGGTAATGTCTTTAAGTTTGAGCTCAGCTGCTGCATTGGAGAGGTTTGCCAGAGTGTTGAGAAGGCTGCGGTGGTTGGAGCATCGACGGATGCCTGCATGAAGGGAGGGCTTCCTTTGAAGCTGCAGCTAAACCCTGCTTTTCTGCCCTATTTATATCAATCATTCATCACTAGAGGCTCTGGCTGTCTGTGATTAAAGCCTCTCTACGGGAGGGCAACATCTGAATATGTATATATAATTCATATCTACATGCACAAGCGCACTCTCTCACAGATCAACCATATTCTGCAGTCTGAAACCCAGTAGTGTATAAACACTTCTGGTCAAGAGTCTATGTAATGATCGGGTTGAGCTTGCAGAAAACCTAGCTTTTAAAAACCTCAAAGAATTACATCAGAAAGATGCGGTGAAGCAACTTGGGTCTTCTACATGTGCAGTTGATTAATTTTGTGGGTAATTTAAGGGATAGTACACTCAAAAATGGAGATTCTGTCATTATTTTTCACTCTCTTGTCATTCCAAACCTGTGTGACTTTTTAAAGGTAAGGTTTAAAGAATGCCCTGGCTGCTATTTTTCAATGTAATGAAAATGAATGGGTATTCACACTGAGTAGCTTCAAAATGACAAAAAAGCATCATGAAAGTGGTTCTTTTGAAGTGGAGTCTTCTGAAGCCATAAAATAGCTTTGTGTACAGGATAAACCAAAATTCTAAGATACAAATTGTCATCATTTATTCACCTTAATGTTGCAAACATTTATGACTCAGGTGGAACTTAAATACGATATTTAAGAAATGTTCTTAATGTCTCTAAAACTGTTTACCAATAGTAGTACCAACATCTGGTTTTCATTTTGGGTGAACTATCCCTTTATTCACTGAAAATCTTGGCAATCCACTCTAGCTGTACTTGGCATGTTCATTAGATTTTATAGGAATAGAATGAATCATACTTTAAGTCATATATTTTCTATAAATTGGCTGATTTAGTTCACAGAACCACTCTGAATGATTCACTCACAAACCCAACTGATCCAGATTTCACTGACAAGGAATATATTAGTAATTTGGACCAATTTATTCTGCCTTTTAGAAGCTTGTAAACTTGAGTTATCAGTCATTGTAATCATATGGAAAAGAATGACAAGGACACATTCAAAATCTCTCCTTTTATGTTCCACAGAAGAAAGTCAGTCATAGAAGTTTGGAACAACATGAGGTGCAAGTAAATGACAAAATGTTCATTTTTGGGTGAACTAATCCTTTAAGGCTAAGCCCTTGTTGTTTGACTACAAAAGGGGCTCTTTGCAGGTGTTCAGGTGTTGGGGTGTAATGAAGCTTAAGTGATATGATGGAAACACGATGCTTTTTGCAGGCTGGAGTGGGTTTATGCCCGGTGTTTCAATACATCTGATTTTGATATGAATCTGTGAGGCATACAAAGCATTGCTCGGGCTAAGGACGCCCCGCTGAAACCATGCTGAGGCTTTTTTTGTTTGTTTTAATGGCAAAGCGAAATGGGTGGGAGGGTGTAGGTAGAATTCAAAGGTGAGAAAGAAGGCTTACAGAAACATTTCCATCTATGCTTACCCATCATTCCATTCCTGCTTTCTCCCAGAATCCATTGAGCTGACGGCCAAACCCACCCCCTTCCCAACCACCCACCGCACCACCCCTCCCACCGCTCACGTCAAGATCACCAAACAGCGCCATGGCCACACCACCACCACTACTTCAAGCATTCTCAAGGATCTGGACAGCTTCGTGGTGGAGGCACTGCCTCCACCGAAGGTGGTCGAGGCAGGAAAGTACTCCAGCACTTTCACCACCCACCGCCCCACCACACTCAACAAACCACCCCGCACCTCATCCCCACCCCTGGACTCCAGCCCTGACTTTGACGAATCGGGCAGTGGAGAGCCCAGTGGGGACGACGAGATGGTGAGCGGAATGGCGGAGAGCGGAGAAGAGCCACTTGGTAATGCATTCACCATAATCTTTCAGTCATAAGGGGTTTAGGCATAATTGTCAAGAACAGATGACAAGAGATGATGAAATTCTGGAGTGACCTTGTGTGTGAGATGACCTCGACTCGAATTGTAATGGCATATCAATTTAACGCTGCCCATTATCTCAGCACCCATTATAATTTGAGAGCTTTTGACACCTGACATCCAACTGCTAAGTGAGCGGTTTCATTTGGAATCACTTTTCCAAGAAAAAAATATCATCTTATATTCGGGACAATACGGTAATTCACCAAAATGACTAGCTTCAGTTTTTAACGTGGCCTAACCTTATGAGTAAGCCTCTTCTAAAGGCCATTTCAGATGAAGTCGATGCAACCACTGTTCCTTTCACTCCTTGCACAGTCTGTGTTTATCAGGAACCGAGCTTAAGACATAGACCCCACGAAATGAATTGAGTTTTCTTTCCTATGTTGACATTTTTGACACATATATTTTACATTACTTTTTGTTATATCCTATTTATATGTAGTGTAACTATTTTTAGGGGTTCAAGTACGTAGTGCTGAAACCCTATTGGAAATTTTTTTTATTTTTATTTTTTTTATTCTCCAGTAAAACTGATCGTGCAGCCCAAACCGTAAGGCCTAGAGTGCTGAAACTTGGTCAGATCGTAGTAGTATTGCTCACTACTCAGATCCAAAGACTCGCCCCAATCGCATTAAAGGGAGCGCTACAGCACAAAAAAATTTACATTGTTGTAATCCTTGGGTCAAAACAAACAAAACTTCTACCGGAGGATTTGTTCTACAAAGTAGTTTTTCTGCAAAATTGAGCTATGTCCAAAACCTACTTTTGCGAACTAGTCCTATAGGTTTTTCGCCCGATCAGAACCAAACCACTGCAGAAATATTCTCGGGACAGTGAATATCAATAATTTTTTTTTTTAAAAAGTTGACATTTCGATTTTTGCGCGCAACAGTACGCAAAAACGTTCTATGATAATTTTAGCCAATTGCTAAACGTAGCTATAACTCTTGAACGGAATGAAATATTTTCGCCAACTCGGTACACATATTGCACAGCTCTGCCACTTGGTAGCGCTATAAGATGGAAAAACATAAAAATGACTATAACTTCGCAACAGTTGGTCCGATCGACTTGAAAATGGGCATGCAGTGTCTTTGTCCAAAGTGGCACAAGTGTCTATGAGGACATTTGCTTATCTCAAAAAACATGGCTGCCATTGGCCAAACAATTTAAGCACCTATTTGACAAGGTTAACGGAGGTCGATCAGAACGAAACTTGGTGGATATGTTCGACTCATGGCCCTAAAGGTCTGTAAGAATTTTGAAAGTAATCGGCCACTAGTTGGCGCTGACGAGTTTTATGGCTCTGTAATCGTGGTGTTTCACACACCCACACAATATGCATATCATTTGATAGATCTCCTCATAATGAGCAACTTTGCCTCCAGAACTATTGCTGTCAATCAAATCGTTCATTAAATATTCACAAATATGTTAAAAACCTACTTTTGCGAACTAGTCCTAGGTTTTTCGCTCAATCTCGATCAAACGACTGTAGTAATATTCTCTGGAATCTCCAGATTAATAATTATCAAAAGAAATATTGAATTTTGTCCTTTGGTTAGCTATAATGGGCTCATTTTTTAAAAAGGGGCGTGGCCAAATATACCCAAAAGCCTATAAAACCTAAACAAAAACTCGAAACTTTATTAAACTTGGTGAAAACATGTGTCAGATGACTCTTAATAAGCATGCAAAGTTTCATGGAGATCGGACTATAGGTGGCGCTATAACAGTTAAAAGGGCCTCAAAAACACAATATTGCTATAGAAAATGACCTCAAATTGTAGAACATGTTCATATATTCACACAAACACTAGATCTTCATATCATATGATAGATCTCCTTATTCTGAACAACTTTGCCTCTGGGACTAATGCTGTCAATCAAATTGTTCATTAAATATTCTCAATTATGTTAAAAACCTACTTTTGCGAACTAGTCCTAGGTTTTTCGCTCAATCTCAATCAAACAACTGCAGAACAATTCTCTGGACTCTCTAGATCAATAATTATCCAAAAAAAATTTGAATTTTGTCCTTTAGTTAGCTATAACGGGGTCATTTAGAAAAGTGGTGTGACCAAATATACCCAAAAGCCTATAAAACTTAAACGAAAACTCAAAACTTTACGAAACTTGGTGAAACCATGTGACAGATGACTCTTAACAAGCATGCAAAGTCTAATGGAGATCGGGCCATAGGTGGCGCTATAACAGTTAAAAAGGCCTCAAAAACACAATATTCCTATAGTAAATATCCTCAAATATTAATGTCTCTTTATTTATTTTATTAATTTATTAATATTAATTTTTAAAAAAGTTCATATATTCACACAAAAACTAGATCTACATATCATATGATATATCTCCTCATTCTGAACAACTTTGCCTCTAGGACCACTGCTGTAAATCCAACTGTTCTTTAAATTTTGATATTATATTATTTAAAAAACCTACTTTTGTGAACTAGTCCTAGGTTTTTAACTCAAAATCAATCAAACCACTGCAGTACAATTCTCTGGACTCTCTAGATCAACAATTATCAAAACAAATTTTGAACATTGGCATTTGGACAGTTATAACATGGTCATTTAAAAATGTGGTCCTTATATAGTGTACCTAAGTGCCTATAAATCTTAAAAGAAAACTCCAAACATCACAAAACTATGTAAACTCATGCATTATATGATTCTAAACGATCCTGCAAAATTTTATGGAGATTGGTCAGAAACTGACACTGTAATAGTTATGAAGGTTAAGAACAGTACTTGTCTATGCTCTATTCCCTGAAAGTGCAAATACAACCACTAGATGGCAGCAAAGGATCACTCATTGGCTCATTCTATCACTTATATAGTTCTTTTCTCAAGGTTTTATTAGGTACTGACATTCAGATAGTTTAAAATCATAAATATTACATTTACAATCACATTTAGTCAAAGTTTACCACTTCATGCCACATATCAATTATGCCACACTATGATTAAATTTAAACCTGAAAAATATTATAAACAGGACACTTCCGGTAAGCATTTTATTGCCTATAAGTTATTTCAAATATCTATATCTACAACATAATCTGTGTCTGTGTGTGTGAGCATGCTAAGCCTCTATTAAGTAATAGAGTGTGTCTTAAGTAATATAGTTCAACCTTTTCATTACTCTGTGTGTGTGTGTGTGTGTGTGTGTGTGTGTCATCATATTCTCCATCATGGATGTGTTCTGGTGTCAGCCATACATTTCACGTTGGCTGAGACCCCTGACAGCATAGAAGTCATGAAGGCCTTTAAGTGCTTCTCGGTAATCTGAGCATGCTAAGCCTCTATTAAGTAATAGAGTGTGTCTTAAGTAATATAGTTCAACCTTTTCATTACTCTGTGTGTGTGTGTGTGTGTGTGTGTGTGTGTCATCATATTCTCCATCATGGATGTGTTCTGGTGTCAGCCATACATTTCACGTTGGCTGAGACCCCTGACAGCATAGAAGTCATGAAGGCCTTTAAGTGCTTGAACCTCGGTAATCACTGCTTGCAGCTATATTTGATTATATTATTGGTTGCATTTTATTATTGCCAGACCAGTTGAGAACCACAGATAGTTATTTTCTGCCTTTCAAAACCTAACTTTACAGCTCATACCATGGAAGAAAGGAACAAAGACACTTTCAAAATGAATAATTTCCAGCTGCTACCTACAATTTACAAGTATATTAAGTTGGTTATTTTAAAAAAAGGTATGATGTTAACAGACTTAAATAATCCTTAGTTGCATTACTTGCCTCTAGCAAAACATAGCAAGTAGCTAATAATAGGGTAAGCTGCAATTCTAAAATTAATTCTAAAAATTAATCTTGTTTAGCACATTTTGCCATTTTTAAAAAAATGTGGATCTGTTCTTTTTGCCAACCTTCTGCACACTTCTGCAAACTAATGGAGATCGACCCTAAGAGCCACAAAACTCCCATTTTGTTCTCCAATACAGCCGCCTCTAAAATGATAGCCTCTTAGTTGACATACAAGTGACAAATCCCTCAATCCCTTTACTTGTTTTGTGTCCTTCAACACCACGATACATAAAGTAGACCAGCTATTTTTATTCAGCTAATGCTAGCTTTACTGTTTAACTGCCTGAACTGGTATAAGAGAGAGCAGCGGGGCCTCAGATTTATTCTCTTGTCACTGTTGGACCGGAGCGGACCAGAGTTGGACACAGGACACATGAAGTCTGTCTGACATCGGAGTAGGAGGCATCTCTTGGGACTTTCTGATGACTTTCTGCCTCCCAGTGAACCAATAGCCTGTAAGGCTGAAGCAGTGTGGCAGCCAGCGTGCACCTCGGGGGCAGCGGCTCATAAATTTGCCCACAGACGCGATGAAAAGACGTCCAGGGATGCTTTCCAGCTCTACGCCAAAAGTCATTTTCCACCACTCACTATTTTCACACGCTGCCTCTCTCATACTCACAGAGCCCTTGAACATCTGACGGCTTTATGGCTTGTTTGCCAAGCAGGAGATATTTTGCTCCAACCCACAGTGCTAATCTTCTGTATATATCCTTGTAGGTGTGAGGCTGGCTCTATAGCTAAGACAGTTTTAACAAGCTATTGTTAGGGTTTGACTAAATGTGAGTTTAAAAGCAGGAATACATCAAGAAAGATGTAAAAGTCATTTCGCAGCTACTCGCAGATTGTTTACTGCAAATCAAACAGTCAACCATAGAGCCGTCTGCCTCTGTAATTGCCTCCCAGTGAACCAATAGCCTGTAAGGCTGAAGCAGTGTGGCAGCCAGCGTGCACCTCGGGGGCAGCGGCTCATAAATTTGCCCACAGACGCGATGAAAAGACGTCCAGGGATGCTTTCCAGCTCTACGCCAAAAGTCATTTTCCACCACTCACTATTTTCACACGCTGCCTCTCTCATACTCACAGAGCCCTTGAACATCTGACGGCTTTATGGCTTGTTTGCCAAGCAGGAGATATTTTGCTCCAACCCACAGTGCTAATCTTCTGTATATATCCTTGTAGGTGTGAGGCTGGCTCTATAGCTAAGACAGTTTTAACAAGCTATTGTTAGGGTTTGACTAAATGTGAGTTTAAAAGCAGGAATACATCAAGAAAGATGTAAAAGTCATTTCGCAGCTACTCGCAGATTGTTTACTGCAAATCAAACAGTCAACCATAGAGCCGTCTGCCTCTGTAATTATTTACACCATAATTTTCCTTCTCCACAACTTGACATGTTAATTTTTTTTGCAATTATACAAACAGAGATATCAGTTTAAACTAGTTGCTGCCTAGAAGCATCAAATTCTAGAAATCCTGCTCGTGTGACGTCTTCATCTCTTTCTTCAGGTACAACAGTAGCAACTACCACTCTTCCCACAGCCGAAGAACGGTCTTCCTGTGACAACACACCTTTCGGCTGCTGTCCCGATGGGAAGACGGCCGCCATCAGCTCTGAGAATACAAACTGCCCCTGTAAGTTCCTGCCAATCACAGCACGGGTTTGTTTATTAACTGTATGACCAGCTCTATGACTAAGCCACCAACAGCAATTATTCTTTTTATCCTGGAAGACTGAGAGGATGATGAGGAGGAGGGGGCCAGAGTTGTTAATGACAGGGGAAACTACTGTCTATGAGCATGTATTATCTTAGACATGCCGTATGGATGTTGATTTTGTGTGCCCAGGGTCCAAAATTAGTACTTGTCACACGCCAAATGCTTGTAAAAATGGCCTGTTACTCACCATTTGGCAGGTGACTTTATCAGGAACTGTATAATACATTGTTGAATTGAATTTTGTGTATATATACAGAATACTTACACTGTAGGTTTAATTTTAAGCAGCCATCACTCCAGTATTCAGTGTTACATGATCCTTCAGAAATAATTCGAATATGCTGATTTGGTGCTCAAGAAACATTATTGTTGAAAACAGTAGTGCTGCTTAATATTTTTGTGGAAACCATTTTTTTTTTCTTTTGTAACATAAACTTTTTTACTGATGAATTTATTTTGTCTTGACTCAATAGTTAATATTAATTACTTCTTTCAAAAAGGAAAAAAATCTTACAAAGCACAAACACAGTTAATTTTGGACCCTGAGTATGCCAGATGCAGGGGAGCAGGTTCAGTGTCAGTAGCCGTAGCAAATGGATAAACCAATTCTCCAAAATGTGTTCTGACTAGCATTAGACCAGATGCGTCCATACACACACAACCCTTTTTCTCGCACCAGCCCCATCTGTTTTATAAGAGCAGAAATTACACACAATGGAGACTAATCAATACAGGACAGACAGCCAGTAGCAGGCAGATGTTTTGTGTTCTCTGTATGGGAACACTAGGTCAAGTGCTCACGTCTCTTCTCATATCCGTCAGCTGGGTCTCGTAACTCCCCACCGTTTATTGGCGATGTGTCACAGCGGCCGGGAGCGAGGGCCCTAATGTCCATTGCGTTCAGTCTCTGCTGTCAGCTCGAGCTTTTCCCATGTCTCTCAAGCACTAAGGAGAACTCCCCCTCGTATCAAACTGTTTTATAGAAAGGCTGAAAACAGCAAACAGTGCAGTTTACCCCCTGCTACCTCAATGCGATGTTATCCAGTTTGCTGTCCAAACCTGCCTGGCACTACGTGAAAAAGTAATTGCCCCCTAAACTGTTTGTGCCACCCTTTGCAGCAACAACTGCAATCAGACGTTTGCGATAACTGGCAATGAGTCTTTCACATCGCTGTGGAGGAATTTTGGCCCACTC